CCTGTCAATGACTTATTTCTTAAACACTGACATTTTTCTTTGAGTAACAGGGCAGACCCCACTATCAACTTAACTGGAATACATAGGCAGATAGACAAGGGCCAAATTGTGGGCTAAAAACATCTGATAAAAAAAAATGATTGATTTATCTCATCTTTTAATTCCAGAAAGGAAGAAGACTTAAACAGAATGCCAGAAAAGGAAGTGAGGGGAAAAAAACCTTCAGGATTTTATAAAAACCAACTCAAGACCTTACTGTAATGTAGTACAGTTGACAAGCTGTCAACCAATGTGGTTAAGAGGAAGAAAAAAATAATAAGAAAAGCCAATGGTACGAGTTAGAACTATAGCTGTAGCCTTACTTCTGACTCTGCTGACTTGGGTAGCTTTTAGGGCATGCTAACATTTCAAAAGATGTGGAATTTCTCCTTTGTTCTGTTGAGAACTGGAGGCCCATCACAAGAAAAGTGAGCAAGTGAATCAAAAGGGAGGTGGGAGGTTTCTATAGGGGAACAGATATTCTAAATCCAGGGTAGGAAGGAATGTAACAGTCTCCATGCACAGAGGCACCCACCCAACCAACTATTCTCATCAGATCCAATTTCTGAGCTAAATGCATTATTTGGGTGGGAGAAGAAAAACAATGCCTTGTCTGCCTGTATTGTATACATCCTAAATATGTATTTCATGGCTGCTTTGGAGGGGGAAATATATTTATAGCTCCTTTAGTGCCATTCCAGTCTATTGTGTAAATATGTAAATTAGGCTGTGTGATCTACACAGTAAAATGCCTTGGAATAATTTGTGTAAATAAATCATATGCATATGCGCAGTGCACAGTTTTCAAACTTGAAATTTTCCATTGCCTTTCAGGGAGCTTTTCGGAAACTGTTTCAAACGAAACTTACCCATGCCCAGAAAATGAATATATTGAAGAGGCTGGGCATGATGGAAATCAGATTGAGGCTTTCTCTGCACCATGCCATTTTCTAGGAATAATAGGGAATTTTTTATCCTGGGCAGACACTAATTTTATCAAATGTTGTTCCATTCTGTGCTCCTGTGTCATAGCAGCAACTGATTCTGCCGAGTCCTATTTGTGGAACGTTAGAACAAGAGCAAGGAAGAGAGGAAGGACACTGTACTGTTGAGCTCTAAAATCCGTTCCCATCCTTTTCTGTGCTAGGAGCAGTGTGGATTAGCTGCTTTGTTTCCTGGGTGCCAGAGGTGTATGTCGGGATTGATGGGAAGACATCAGGTCAGGCAGGCAGCACAGGGCCAGAGGCATAGAGGAAAGAAGGAGTTGATCTACTTAGCACTAAGGAAAATACTGAAATGGTAGAACATATTAAAACAAACAAAAAAGCTTAGGGTAGTGGCAAGGGTGGGGCCATACTAAGTCACTAAGTCACTGCCCTGCCTGGAGAGAGTCTTGCCAGAGAACTTCAGTGGAGAAAATGAGATGATACAGCGTTTAATGTTTTGTGTAATGAGGCCTGTAATAGATGACAGCTGAGATCCAAAACCCTAAGGTAATGGCAAGGTGTTTAAATATTGACAACCCATAAAAGCTTTTCATTTGACTATTAGATACTGCTGCTCTTAGTCACAGAAGGAAGGGGGAGGACAGTTCCTCTTGGCTTCGAATGGTAAGACTTAAAGTCAAGCAGTTTGCTTAGGTTCAGTTAACACTCTAAAAGAGAAAATCATTGGCAACCCGCATCCTGACATTCAGTAATAAAATAGGATGGGGAAAGCACAATCTTTGGCTTTCATTTAGAAAGGCAGCATCTTCTGGTCAGTCCCTTGTCATGTTTGATATCCTTATGTGTTGGTTTCTCATTCCTCAGTGGTCCCCTGTTGAGTTCAGGCCTCCCAGTGGCTTCAAAGGAACCTCTACATCTGGATAAACTTCTTCCGTGGTATGGAATTAACCAAAAACTAACTCCAGTACTTCAATTAGTCCTTATTTACATCTCCTTTCTGACTCCCTGAAGCTACACAAAGACACACATAGGAACTCCCGCTTCTTTCATTATAGCTATACAGACAGGCATAAGATAACTTGAGGAGAAATTAAATGGCTCCCCAGGAAAGGCAGAGAATCAATACTTTATCATTTCCTGGGAAGTCTGTGTAACGTGTTAACATTCTGAATCCGTGCACATCTGTCTGGTTGGTGGTGCATTTACATTCTTGACAGGGCGATCTCTGACATGAAGATGCTCATTTCAAAGTCATACTGGTGCACTCCACTGGGCAGGGTTAGGAGTCTCTTCACAGGACTGTAAATTCTGCTTTTAAGGAGAGAGGCATGAAGGATACCATTCATGTGTGCATGTGTATCTGTATGTGTGTGTGTCTGTGTGTTGGGGAGAAGTGGGTAAAGACAGGGAAAGAATAACTGAATATAACTACTCTGTAATTAGAGAGCAGCTTAGCACGGAGCTCAAAGAACTTTGTCTATGTACTCAATAAGGATGATGGAACAAGAAAAGATACTCTTCTAGCCACCTTTGGCCTCAAAAATTCACTTTCCTCCTCTATGCTATCCTACTAACAATATGAATAAGATACTGTGTTTTCCTAGGTGCCATAGATACAAGATGAGATGAATAGGAAGACATCAGGTCAGGTGGATGGCACAAGGCCATAGGTGGAGCTGGGAGGAAAAAACAGATCACCTTAGGCTTAAGGAAGCAATCAAGGAAGAGTGGCTAAACCACTCCTACCCTTCACAGGGACTCACCACAGTGAATTTTCACAAAGCAACATTTTTCTTTGCATAAAAGACTTTTGCAATAAATTCCATTTCTTATGCTTCTGGGTGGTGGAACTTAGGATTCTCCACCTTTTGCTCAGTCCAATGCAATTAACATGTATTGGGTGCTGTGCTAGGCATGGGGTATTAAAAGATAAAAAGTTATTTAGTCCTTGTTCTTAAGGAACTTATATTCTATGGCAAGAGAGAATATGACATGTATGTTTACATATATGCATGCATATGTGTGTGTGTGAGAGAGAGAAACAGACAGAGAGATTAAGAGAGAAGGAAAGGAGAGGAGAGAGATGGGGAAGAGAGGAGAGAGAGAAAGAGAAGAGAGAGATTGAGATTGAGAGACATAGATAGACAGAGACAGAAAGCACAGAGAGAGAGTCAGAGACACACACAGAGAGAGAAAGAGACAGAGAGACTGAGAGAGAAGCATATGCAAGGAAGTGATGGTGGCAAGGAGAGAGCCAGGGAAAGTGGCTCTCTAAGGAAATCTGAGGCAGGAGAAAAGACTTTTGGGTGAAGTGGTGCCTGAGATGAGCCCTGAAGGAAAATAAGGAGTCAGAATGGTTGAGATTGGGAAGCAAGGTGGGTAGGGGAGATAGCCTATGAAAATGAATATGGCTAGGAAGGAAGGAATGCAGTTTGGAATACAGCATGAGCACAGGAGTAATACAAAGTGAAGCTGGAAAGGTAGATTGGAAAGGGCCTATGAGAAGACCTTGAATACTAGGCTAAGGAGTTTATCTTGTACCCTATAGGCAATAGGGAGCTTCTGAAGGATTTTGAGCAGTGCTCTGACATGGTTAGATCTGCGCCTTAGGAAGATAGCATTGGCATCTGCGTGAAAGGTAGATCACAGAAATGGAATGACTAGAAGTAGGGAGACAAATTAAGGAAACTATTATAGGAGAGAGGGACTTGGTAACTGAATACAAATCTAAAAAAAAACCTTTTCCCTCTCTGCCAACCTGGCTCCATGCCTCTGCATTTACCTCCAAAACCCTCCATTCTCCAAATTTTACACTCGTTGTCACCTAGGACCCCTATTCACAAGCAGGCACCAGTCTTTACAGACTGGACTTCATTTAAAATACTCTGAACACAGGGCCGACTTTATTAGGCCCCAAGGTTCCCAGGTACAATAAGATAATTAAGTGATCACAGTAGATCACCTCACCTGGTCAATCTTACCTTTTCTAAACCCAGACAAGCTTTAACGGCAATCCATTTCCCGACCGTGTCCACTGTCATGATCTAGGGCAGATACTATTGGACTCTACTAATCCAACAAATTGTATTTGTCTCAAAGCCTCTAGGCTATAGGATTTTCTCCATTATTTTTTATTCTATCCTGTATATCTGGAGCAATGCCAGAAGTTTCTTGTGTATAATTCTATCTAGTATTAACAAGAGATCAATCCTGGGGGGAAAAAAGTAAGTTACATATTGTCAAACACAGACACATGCATAACTTTCCGGGTCTCTGTTTTTGCACTTACTGCTTTACCAATCAGAGCTAAACACACACACACACACACATTCATTTATTTATTTAACAACTGGGTCCTTTTGGTCCTGGGCTTCTATGGCTCATCTTAATAGTATTTTTTTTTATCTAAAACTACCCAAATAAAGTTATTAAGCTGGGGGTAGTGGGAGGATATAAAATTATTGGAGGAAGAAGTATATCTTAGAACTTATTTTCCAGTGACTAAAGATGAAGCAAATGATTTACCAATTTCCACTAATACCACATAAAGTAATCACAAATTGAGTGCATGCATCTTTCAATCAGAGTTTCAAACATTTAGAGCACTGAAAATGGGTCCCTGAAAACAGTATTTTATCTGAATGATTAGTCTAAAATGTCTTTAAGTCTCCCTGAATTCTCATGTACAATATTCTAAAGCTGACAATAATCACCTTCTTGAGCATGTGGAATGCAGAGAAAACTCCATGAAGCTAATGCATGTAAGGTTAATAGCACAATGGAAGACTGAAAGTGGGAAGGTTTGTAGAGCATGAGAGATGAGCTACTCATTTCAGTCAAGTTCTCCTTTTCTTCAGCATTCTTGGGGAAAAGTTTAAAATAACAGGTAGTAGTATCTTTTTGGAAGTTTTCCTTCCATCTGGGTTGATGCAATGACTTCTCTACCATCACCAGTTCTATGAAGTGGCCCTAAGCTGACTGCTAACATTTGTGTACTTCTTTGGTCTTCCCTACCTGAAGGCCGTGCCTCTATGATGTAGCCTGTTGTAGGTCTGTCTCCAGAATTTCCCTCTGTCCATTGGAGAGTTAGTTCAGAAGCTGATTTTGTAACCAAAACATCTTGAGGAGAGCCAGGAGATCCTGAGGAATAAAAAAAGAAAAAAAATACTAATTGGTACCTGTGAGGAATCACTCACATCTCGTATTTCTTTAGTACAAAGTTATACAAATAAAAAGATCGAAACCTTGGCTAAGCGGATAAGGATTGCATGCAAAGGTTGCATATGGGGAGGAGGGGGTTGGGAAAAGATTCTACCCTTCCACCTTAACTCCTTGATCAACTCTTTTCAAACCCTTTCTATACACCTGCCATTGTGGACTTTAGGAAAGGGAGAGATTTTGGAGGTTTCTTTGCATATATTTGGAAAATTAGAGGGGAGGGAAGTGAGAGTTGTTTCAGAGGGTGTTACACTTCTCAGAAGTGAAAACTCAGAACTCAAACCTGCTTTCTGTTCAACCCAACAAACATTTATTTAATAGTACCCACAATAGGCAGGGCATTGTGCTAAGTGCTTCTAACATGGCTGTAACCTACTTTACAACTCACTTTTCTCTTTCAAATTTTAGCTCACAGCCTTCAGCTTAATCAAAAGTGATTTCTGTCTTTGGCTGGAGCAGGGTGTGATGGACAGAACAAAAGCTTCCCTTCAGGGATGGAATTATCAAGGCTTCCACAGTCCTGTTCAGGTCAGCATGTTCTGCTGTCCTGGTCACAGGATATTCTGGACAGCCATGCTCAGAGGAAATAGAGGCATTTGAAGTTGCCTGTTACTACATTCTCTGTAGAAAGAACTTCGGTTTAGAGATAGATTCTTTGCTACGTTATTATACCTTAGGTGTAATAATAAACACGTGGTCAACTATCTGTTGGTGATTAGATCATTTGTAACATTTCCCCCTCTCCTTTTAGCTTTGGTCCAGGCCCATGGTTTCATATGGACAAGGAACTCCTGGTGTGAAAAATCTTTTCACCAATGCACATCTCTATCTCAGATCTCATAATCTAGCTCATATCTCATAATCTCATGTCTCATTTCTACCAAAGTCTGAGAGGCAGCACAACACAGTGGAGGATAGAAGGCCATCCATCTGGGTTCAAGCCTTGCCTCTGTTACACACTGGCTGTGGGACAATGGGCAAGTCACTTAAGTTCCTGATTCCCCTGGGAGCCCTCTGCTGCATTACAAAGCACATGTTAAAATAATCTTAATCCTTGCTCAAAGGCAAAAGACAGAGGAAAAAAGGGAATCCAAGGGGAAAGCTTCTGACAGCTGTGAGAGAGGAGGTCATGAAAGATGAGGTGAAAAGTAATAATCTTTTAAAATAATACTAATTAGGCACAAAGTGCTTCCCTTGACACCCTGAGAAGTTGGTAGTACAAGCATCATCACTGCCATTCTACACATGAGGTTCAGGGGAGTTAAGAGGCTTGACTAACATCACAAAGCTAGTCTGTGTCAGAACCAGGATTTGAAACTAGGCCTTGTGACTCCAATTCTCTGCTGCACAGCACTTAATAAACAAAAGGAAGGAAGGAGAGGAAATGGTTTTGGGGACCCTAATGAATGAAACCTAGAGGAGGGTCAGATGCATATATTTATCCTTAACTCTACCAACTGATAAAGATCCATGATTCAATCAAGAGTCATTTGGGCTGAAACTACATTAATATTTCCAGAATGCAACATTTTGCTTGCACCATAGAAATAATATGCTCTACACTGTGGAATATAAGAGATGACATGGTTTGTTCCTAAACAGTTGGGATAGAATGAAAATAATTATATTGGACTCAGAAAAAATAATGTCAAATACTGGCATTACACAATGAGTTTATGGATGTTAGTTCTGTCTTTTAAGAGGACCCTTTGAAAAAAAGGGTTTGGGTAATTTTTTGTTTTTGTTTTTTTGTGGGGGACTTTTTGGCTACATTATAAACAAATTACCCAAAATTTGGGTCAAGATTGTGAATCTTCCAGAAGAATCTAGCAGATGTTGTGTGATTTATGCAGAAGTCATAAATCATAGACAAAAATTCAGCCAATGCATAAACTGTGATTTTTTTAATGCTACAACTCAGTCTTTTTAGGATTAGTGGACCTTATTATTGTCTACCGTATTTCCTGATGCCATTTACCTTTTCTCAAAATGGCATACATTTTAAAAAAAGAACTAAAATGAATTGAAATTATTTTTGTTTTCAAAATTTTGTGAATGCTCCTTGATATGAGTGTGTACTAGAGCTAGCTCATGATGTCTTAGGAGAGCTGGTTGTTAAATTTGCAGTGTGACAATTTACACCTCAGATACCAGCAAATGCTACAAATTGAGGCTTGATTAATTGTCTAGACTTAAATGATGGGAAAATATTAACAATGAAGATTAAACTTAAAAGTGTGTTGTACATGCATTGTTTTTTCAGAGAGCTACTTGTTAAACATTTATCAGCACACCTCTGACTAGACATATCCTAGAATGGCAAAGACAGTCCACAATTATGGTCTCAAAGACTAAGTAAAATTAGGAGTGACTAAAGAAATGAGAACAGAAATCATGAGATTCAGAGTCAGAGGGCCTGGGACTAAATGCTGGCTCTACCATTTCTTTATTACATTTATTTATTTATTACATCATGGGCAAGTAATGACCTCTCTATGCCTCAGTTTCCTTGTCTATAAAATAATGAGGTTGTACTAAATGACCTCTAATGTCCTTCTAGCCCTAAATTTATGATTCTGTGCTTCCATGACTTTATTCCAGTTTCTCTTCTTCTGAAACAAGGATTATAATAATTTCATTAAAAACAGGGATAAGGAAAGGTTAATGAAAGGTTTATAAAATTCCCTAAAGTCCTCAGAAGACAAATCATTTTAATTCTTAATTTTTATTCACTGGCAATTAAAAAGACACAACCTAACTTGGAAAAAGCTAGGAAATTTCAGGTTAAAATTTTACAGTATCCTAATTTCCAAGTGACAGTGAAAATGGCCCAAGTTAATGTCAAAGTTTTTTTTTTTAATTTTATTTTTTTTAGTTTTTTAGTTTTCTTGTTCCTGTAATTTCAAACATTATTTTTTTTCCCCTCTGCTATAGTTCAGCAAGCTGATGTCAACACACGGAAATATTAAACATACCCATATTTACTTGAATTCATTTTGAGGTGGCAATGTGAAAAGAGTGCTGGATAAGGAATGGAGAGATCTGGGTTTGAATCCTGCCTTATCAGCAGTGTGACCTTGGGCAAGTCACCTAACTTCTCAGTACCTCAATGAGCTCATCTCTAAAATGGTGATAACAATATTTATACCACCTGCCACCCACCTCATAGAGGCTTTGCGATGAAGCGCTTTGCCAAACTTCAAAAGCTAAATAAATGTGATTTTTAAAAATTATTGTTACTATGGAAAGTCATTCTAACACACACTTTTGGAAACATTTATATTGTTGAAATGTCCTTGAGAACTTGGACAGACCTAACTTCCCATGGTTTGTTCCCATCTTCTGGGTAGAAAAATGAACACTAGGAGAAAAGGTACCCATGGAGATAGTCCGGCTCTGTGTCTGAACAAATATGCTGCTACCTACTTTGGTATTACCATTGATAACCAGAGTTCCACCTACCCTCTGCTGGGCCAGCTGTGATGTTGGCCTGTAGTCCAGGTCCATAGGCGATGGTGCGCGCCTGCACTCGGAAGAAGTAGGTTACTCCTTTTGTGAGATCCCTCACCTTCAACCAGCGCTGCCAACCTCCTTTAATGTCCACAGTCACCACTTTGCTCACTCCTAAAATAACGGTCCAAATGTACAGTACAGAAGGGTCTCAACAAAAAGAAGGAGCTGAGTGCCGTTTATTATGTTGAGATAACGAGTAAAATTATCTCAGTTTGCTAAGAAAGTATTTCTTACAATTAGCAGGAGTTTAAGTAGTGATAATAGCCAATTTTCAGCACAGATAAGTGTAATTAGAGTTTAAGCTTGATAAGTGGATACTGACAAGGAGAAAAACCTTACAACACAACTGTGAAATTATCAGGAGACTGCATGCAACCTCACTAATTACTTTGAGAAGGGAGGAGGGGGAAAACAAAGTGAATCTGTGAGTGTTCTGTAAGACTGCACTTTGTGCCCTCTGTCCTGTGGCCAGGCAATCTTGCTGGAGCATCCTGGGAAAGGTGCCCTTCCTTTGTAAGTCTAATAGAGTGAGAGCTGCATTTCACCATTTCTTATCACCTAAATAGGCTAACACTGCCATTCTTCTGATTCAATCAAAAGTTAGCAAGTGAAGGAAAAGGATGAAATGAAATCTGAAGTAGAAATATAGACCTTGGCAAAAATGGAAACACCTTGGCAGATACTATATCACTGTTAACTATGGAATAGAATTAAGTATAACGAATATTCTTCTTGGGCCCCATCCAAGCAGGTTTGGTTATTGAAGTATGAAATAATCTACTCAGAAGGTTCTCCTTACAATGTGGTACCCATCACAAACTAAAGGTGGCTATCTTTTAGCCCCAGTGGCTCTTCAGAGTTTGAAATAAGTATGAAGGAAAAAACTACCATTACAAATTGTATTGATTCCGTGGCTGAAAGTAGCATCATGTCCCTAGAAAGACCTAAACAGATGAAGTTATTCTCACCAAGAGAGTCAGAACTCCAATGAGTGCAGAATGATGACAAATGAGTAATTAGGTGGTTAATGTAAGTATTTTTCAGTTCTATTAGAGTTTAACATTTTGTGTGTGTGTGTGTGTGTGTGTGTGTGTGCTGTGTGAACCTTTGATTCTTGCACATTCTCAAGGACGTAGTGAATTATTGCTCCTACCCTCGGTCAAGTTAGCTGTTACCACGATCAGGAAAGCAGGGGAGTTCAGCTGTAGGCATAGACTGCAGTACCCACCAATAGCCCAGATGAGGATACTAGTCTTTCTATCATGCTAAGAATAGCTTCACAGGCAGTATTTAAGAGCAATGAGAACCCAGGTCTTTGGGCTGATATTTAATAAACAATTGATTTTTATACTTCTCTTGTAAAACTGATTATATTGGCCACAAAGGTAGGAGACAGTTTTCCCCAGAAAAGCAATACAGTTCTTGGGATCCTATATACCCATACTGCTTTCCACACATATCTATTTTTGTGTTTCCCTTTGGGCGAAAATCTTACTCATTGGGTTGTAGAGTAAGCTGCCGGAGGTTTCAGAAACAGTGTATGAACACACACACACACACACACACACACACACACACACACACACACACACACACACGCGCATGCACACACACACATATCTCAAAGGGCTGGGTCATAGTGATGAAGTATCATACAGTCAGTGAGAACTGGGTCCTAGAAGGCACCTTCCGAATCCTTCCACTAGTTCCTTAGTTGTGCTTAGGTCATGGGACCTTGGCAGTCTAAAGCTGATTTTGGCTACGTTTGGCTTAGATTCAATCCAGAATTATAGTGAGGCTTTAATAGATGTATTACTTCTTATGTTCTATTTATAAATAGCTAGGTCAGTCATTAAAAATGTGGAGAGCCATTTAGGCCTATTCAAAACTTTTAGGATTGGTAATCTTAATCCAAAATTGAAATATTTCACAAGTACCTTCATTAAAAAAAAAAAATCCAGCCCTTTGTCAATGACATAGAGAATTGTGACTCCTATCCTTGGGAAGATGCAGATATGCAGGAAAAGCCACCCAAGTAACTAGATTCTGTAGAGCCCCATTGATCTATCACTAAAAAGTCTCTTACTATGAGAGTAAACTCCACATTCAATGTGACCAATATTTATTAAGCATCTACTTGGCTCATTGGTAGGTTTATTCTTCTTATCTTGAGTCAGGGGTAACTTTACACATGCATTGCTAATTTTCTTCTTTCAAACTCTGTTGATATTGAACTTTACAGCTTGCTGGATAAGTCACTTAACCTTTCTGTGTCTGTTTCCTCATCTGTTAAAACAAGGAGTTGAAGTAGACAGTCTCTAAAAGCCCTTTCAGCTTATAATCTAAGAATGATGATCTATGAAAGGGCCTTGCAGCTCATTTAGCCTAGCCCTGACATTTTAGAGATCAGGACCCTGGGGCCCAAAGAGGAGACTGACTTGCCCCAAGTCACAGACCTAGTGAGTCCTATATCCGGAGTAAGAACATAGGTTTCCCAGCTCTTCATTCAGCACTGCTTCCACTTTGCTACACTGCCTCCTAAGACTTGAAAATGATTATTTGGAATCAGAAACTTTGGTTACAGTCTTGTCTCTGTCACTTACTACCTGTGTGACTTTGAGCAAATCACTTAACTGCTTGGAGTCTTAGGTCTTCATCTGCAGAATGAAGGGGTTGCAGCAGATGACCTCTAAGGTCTCCTCCATCTCTAAATCTGTGATCATAGGACCCTAGTTCTCATAGTTTTGAATGCCTCCAAATGGTTCTTCAAAATTGGAGAAGGCTGATGTGGTCATTTGCAGACAGGCACACTGCAAATGAGCATATTTGCATTACATACACATTGCTCAGCAGCATCATCTTAGGCATGACCATATTTGCTTACTGCTGTTTCTGTCATCAGTTATTGGATTGGATTCTTCTGAATGTAAAGTTATTTTGGGTGGCCATTCCTTTTCTTTTTTAATTCTTTCCTCCTCCTCCTCCTCCTTCTCAGAGCAATAACATACCCCATGCATAGTTTTTGTGAGTTCTATCCCACTATGTGGTAATGCTAGTTAGGCCTTCCCCATCTCTGAATGTCAGAATTTTATTTATTTAGTCAATTTTTAAACTGTGCCCTGCACTACAAAGCTTCAGGGTGCAATCACATAAAAATACTACCGTTTAAAACATTTTAAGAAACATAAAAATAGCTGTGCCATAAAGTCAGACTGCCAACAACACTGCTAGCCTTTATGGATAACTCAAGTGGTCCTTAAGTTGTCCATGTGAGGAACATAGGTTGTGCTTATCCAGGTGAAGTAAAGAGCTGAGGGGAGGCTATTTTCCAGATGGGATGTGCACAATGACCATATTCACCAGATAATTGCCCAATTCTATATTTCACTCTGCCTATTCACTCTATTCACTCTGTTGGGGACATCAACTAATACCTTCAGTTCTTTTAAGGGAAAAGGTATAGAGGAACTTACTCCTCCCTCATTTGCCTCTAGCCAGAAGAGGAGAGTCCCCAGCTGGTCACAGATAGAGGGAGAAGCTTTTTATTCTGAATAGGGTGAGACCTTCTTGATTCAAAACTGTTGCCATCTGTGGCATAATTGAGAGAGCAGTGACTCTGGAGTCAAAGGACCAGGGTTCAAAGCACTTCTGATGCTTAGTTACTTGTGTGACCTTGGGCAAGTCAATTAATCTCTCTGAGCCTCAGTTTCCTCATCTGTAAAAGAATGGGGTTGGACTAGAAGGCCTTGGGGGTTCCTTTCAGTTCTAAATCTATGATGCTTGGAAAAGGGATGGTACATCCAGTGACCTACAGTGTTGTCAGAGTTCAAAATAAAAGTCACGTATATTACCCCTGACTCTTAGGGGAGGAGCTGAGGAGAGGCTTTGCACCTCAGAGAGAAGGAACATGCTAGAAGCATGTGACTTCACTGACCAATGGGGATAGGCAAAACTTTAAGACCTAGATTTTCTTCAGTTTTTCTCTTGTACTTGTCCTCTTCCCTTGTGGTCAACTGGGAGAGCAGCAGCCTTTTGGTTCTGTGACATTTAAAGGTCTTAATAACCTGTCCCCTTCCTAACTTTGGAATCTTCTGACCCTTTAGACTTCTGTCCATGCATTCTACAAACCAGCTACACTGAGCTACTGGCAGCTCCTCGCACACACCACTCCACCTTCCTCCTCTCTGTCTTTGCATTGGCTATTTCTCATAACCCCTCCCTTCTTCCTTGGACTCCATTGAAATCCTACTTTCTTCAGGAATTTTTTCCCAGTCCCCCAAGCTGCTAATGGCTCTCCCTTCAAATTACTTAGATATATTCAGTGCATGAACATGTTGTCTGATCCATTAGAACATATGCTCCTTACAGGTAAGCATGATTTTTTTGCCTTTCTTTTGTATCCTCAGTGCTTGGTATAGTTCCTTGAATATGGTATATACTTCATAAATGCCAATTGACTTGATTTGATTTGATATGGATCTTTTCCCTCCTTCTTTGTATTTGTATTTTAAATTGTATTATACCCATGCATTTGTTTTATCATTTCTAATAGACTAGAAGATCCTTGAGGTAAGAATTTGTTAGGATCTTCCACAGAACCTTGCATGTAGTTGTTTTCCATTAGATGTTTGTTGAATTGAATGTTATCCACTGTTCTCTTGTTTTCTCACTAGCCAGAGTTACTACGTTACTCCCTTGAGAGAATGAACTATGCAGGGTGGGGGAGAAGGGGAGACATATGACAAAAGTAAGCCTTGGCTAATTGGGAGTGACGTGGAATAGCCATTGGAATCAGGAGGACCATATGTGACTCTGAGGAATCAAGGAAGGATGCTTACAGATGAGTTTTATCCCTCACCAGAGATCCTAGGATTTTCCTAATAAAGTTTGCACTCTCTCATTAGACATGTTTTCTAGACCCACTGGTTCTTTTAATGGGTTCATCTGCTCTAACATGGTAATAGCTCTAACTCTTGGAGAAAGAAGGCACAGTTGCCTATAATACATTTGAATGGTTATACCACTATACAGTGCTCTTTGCAGGAATACGTCTTCTACACAAGTTTTCTCTAATCATCCATTTATAGAATGCATTGGCATAAAGAATATTTTGATTGTTTTAAAATTCTTACTAGCAAATGTCCTTCTTAAATCTTAGCAACTTAAAAAACTTCTCCTTCTCCCTATATCTGGCTCCTCTCATCCCCAGATCTTCCTTCTCCCCTACTCCTGGTCCCAGCCCACTGAGAACCCTCTAAGCTGAAGATCAGAGGATCAGAATGGCACATGGTATAGAATATAGGTATTTTATCTGTCTGTAGTAAAGTTTATGTTAGGCAGCACAATTCTACATTACTGTAGTAATCTATCAGCTTATTTGACAGTGTGATAAAAAATGTCCTAGGCTTACAAGGACCAGGAACATAGTATACTACTGCAACATCTTTCTCAAAGGTACAATCTGGGGGCAAACATATGAATGAATAAGTATTGGGAAAACCTGAAAAATCTCCATCTTCAGATGCCAACCCAACCCTTGGATTTGGGTCACCTATTCTTCCTGATTACATAGAGATCCAAAGATGCTGTTTATGCTAAGAGGCTGCCAAAAGGGAAGGCAAAACTGTCATTTTCCCTATTACTTTCATTTCAGAACACAGTGTGCTGGATGCAAAAGCCAAGAAAATTCAGGCTAACAAAAACCAACTCTCCATACAAAAGAGACAATGCTCATGATCGATGTCCTTACTACACGTGAAAAGAGTTGAAAATGCCTCCACCTGATATCATTCTGCCCAAGCTGGACATTCAAATGTATAATCAGCAATCTTCCTGGAATATAAAATTTCTGAGTAAGTCTTCCTTCAACTTGTATTTGCGAAGCTCATTTTTAAGACGGCTTCAAATTCCTTCCAGGTTTTCTTGGTGGATTGTTTGCTAGTTTAGTATATTTGTAGTTGCTGTCTGCAGTTTGCTGGGTAGGGAGAGGTGGGAAATTGTATCTAGCAGGAATTTGGAAATGGCATTGAAAAAAGTAGAACATATGATATTTAATACTAAGATCTCTCATTTGTCATTCAACTTTCCAAATCATGGTTATTTTTCATGACACATATATAACAACTTGCCACCACACTGATAACACGAGTGCAACTAGACATGCTGGGTCATCTCCCTGGGAGACTGAGTGGAGGGCCTTTTGTAGTAATCTAGCAGAAATTCCGGTAGTGTCAAAGTGCAGGAAAAAGAATAGAAGAAAACACATCCAGTTTCCCAAACTCTCCATTGCTGATCAGGTAATGATGGAGGGTAATGGCGTTGCCTGGCAAGCAAACATTTATTTTTTTTCAAGGCTGAGAGCAAGGTTAAAAAAAGGTGCTTACACTTCTATGGGATTCAATTTCCAGAAGGTTTTTGTAAAGCTAAAAATAATGCAAATCCAGCTTTATGGAATCCTTAGTCAATAGATCCAGTCCTTTACTTCAATCAGGATGGGACAAAAGAGTCATGTGCAGATTTTACATGTAAAAACCACTTGCATGTTTCAAGTGTAGCTTTTGGAATTGTTTTATACTCTGGTTATAACTGTCTAATGCTCTCACAACCATTTAGCTGTGTAAGCTCACAAAGCTCCCTTCAACATTCCCATATATCTGTGATCTTATCAAGGTGGGTATATTGGCTATGGGTGCAATATTGTGCCCCATGGAGACTTTAGAATTCTTTGATAACTTTTGTTAAAGATTCACTATTGAATAAGCAGGACCAGCAGAACTGTCCCCTCAAATAACTTCCAGGACTGTATTTTTTAAAGAGATCAGTCGGGTCTTGGAAGTCTAAGGCAGGAAGTTGTTCCATGAAACACTATATACTTAGACACAATAACCACAGAAGCTCCAAGCCTGCAGGGCAAAGCAATTTTTATAATTCTTGGAGACTTCCGGAAGTTGGAGGACACTTCCTATAAGCTATGGCTGTGCTAGCTGAGGTCAAATCAAGCCCACAATATATATTTATAGAGCACCTACTATATGTGGGATACTGTGGGGAATAGAAAAATAAATATTCCCTCAAGGAACTTACAGCCTAGGAGGGGAAACAAAAAATGAACATGTGAAATAAGACAATAATACAAGAGAAAAATAATGTTAACAGGGAAGTACGTGATGATTCAACAAAGAAATGAACAGATAATGTCACAAAGGACCCTTACAGAAAATTATTATAGCTAAAACTAAGATGCTCATTTAACCACTAATTGTGATGTGGAAACAGCTCAACTCAGATTTTTTTTTCTTTCAGTTTTCCTTTTAATTGGCCAACATTTCTCTAAATTGTTCCAGAAAGTGCAGTTCACTGAGGTTGCCTCTGAAAGCTAATTCCCATTTAGAGAAGGGAAGTGAGGGAAGTCAAGTGTTCCAGACAGGCTAGTCATTTTCTCCAGTGCTGGTCTTACCTTGGACAGGTGCTAAGGGCTCATAGACCACTCGATAACCCTGCAGGACACCATTTGCTGCCACTGGTTCTCCCCAGGAAATGTTAAGAGTAGTAGAAGTTATTTCTGAGAATGCCAGGAAACTGGGAGCACCAGGTGCTGAAAGAAAGTTAAGTAAAATGACTTTTTATTAATGATAGTTTAGGTATCGTATATGTAATATATATATAAACAAAATCTATATGTACAAACACATATATGCCCTGAAAATAAAGAATTTTTTTATCACCCAGTAAAATTCTAAGTATCATAAGGTGAAAAATAGGATTTATTGATCACAATAGCCCTTCCTATGAGCAATCAGAAACACAGATCCCTCTAAGAGGAGCAAAGAGAAAATGGCAGTGTTAAAACACAAAAGAGTTTGAGAGAAAATGACAAAAGTAGAAGAATGAATAATAGATGGAAAGAGAAGATGAAATTCCTGAGACAGCTTCATTTCCTAATGACTGAGAATTTCTGAGAATTTCATTTCTACTATTCCAGGTGTGGGTGGGGGTGGAAAAAAGAGTGCTGCTTAAGCATTAGTGATGGATGAACAACAAACAGTTAAGCAATTTAGGTCTTGTGGTTTGTATGCTCACCCTGATCCCTCCTCACTCACAGTGGGGTTGAAAATCTCAAGACAACAAATGGACTCAGCCGAACTCCCAATACTCCCTAGTTTCCACTCGATCAGAAATCTCACAAGAACAAATAGGCCTGTCTCCTGCCATGTTAGAGTGTTTCCACTTCTGTCCAGAGAGATAGAAGGAAAATAAGGAAACCATTTCCATGTTTCAAGGAGGATTTCTCAACTTGTGGTGGATGGGATGGGGACAGTCCCGTCAACCCCCAAAAGAGAAATGGTAAAAGGGATAGGTGAAAGTCCTGAACAAACTGAAATAGTAGGTTTTGTCTTTAAGTTCTCTTCCATCACCTTTTTTTTTCTTTTTTCTTCTCTGAGTCCTCCCTTTTCCTCCTGGTGCCTGGTATCTTCATGCTTTCCCTAGACCACCATTGTAGCACTCCCTAAAGGCATTTAGTCTACCAAGGATGCAAAATATCCTTCATTTTCTTCATCTCCTACTACTAAATTGAAATCCACTGCCTAATATTGTAGGGTGAGAGTTACAAGGAAATTCATCTGATCATCTAACCAAAGTCATTCTCACTTAAGTGTGAATGACTTATTTCCAGGGGATAATTCCCATTTTAAAAGGAAGCTGTAAGTTGTCTGATGCATTGGCCAGATGATTTTTTTTTGAGAGAGGGGGTAGGTTTCACAGAACATTAGACTTGGAAAGTACCTTTGAGATCAAGTCAAACCTTTACCTAAATAAGAATTCCCCCCTACACCTGCAATAACACCTTCAAATGACTCCCACTGTTTCCTGGAGGAATTCTATTCAAAGGGAAGCCACTCCCTCCAAAAGAAACCCATTTTCCTTTTGGATAACTCTACTTAATGTCATGATTTCTTTATTTCATGCCTCAATTAGGCTCTTTGTAGCTGTCACCATGGCTCCTGGTGCTGCTCTCCCGGGGCCAAATGGAACAAGCCAAATCCTTCTTCCAAATGAGAGCTCTTCACATATTTTAAGCCAGCACGCCTTCCCCAAGTCTTCTCTCGCACCTGACCTTAGCAGGATCTCAAGGTTCTTTGAGGTCCTCATTGCCATCTTCTGGATACTCTCCAGTTTATTAAAGTCCCTCCTCAAAAGTGGTCTGATCAGGTTGGGGTACAACAGGAATACTGCCACTCTGCTTTGAGATATTACTTTCTTTGGCTGCCATATCACATTGCTTGACGCATATGGAGATTGCAATCCATTGCCAGATGAAGTCATCAGTAGCTTCTTCTATTTTTCAAAATTTGGATCATCCTTTTCCCACAAAAAGTCTTGTTAGCTCCTAATTAGTTTTTGAAGTTTTTCCTGATACCAAAGGCTCTTTGGTTTTAAGTGAGATATGCCAAAGGCTGACCATAGCATGCCAATATTACAATGGAGTTTTCTTGGCAAAGATACTGCAGTGGTTTGCCATTTCCTTCTACCGTCAATTAAGGCAAACAGAGGTTAAGTGACTCACCCAGGGTCACATAGCTAATAAGTGCCTGAGGTCATATTTAAACCCAGGTCTTCGGCCTATTGCTCTATCCACTGAGTCACCTAGCTTCCTCTTTTGGGTACATTAGGATGTACCTAATATACTTGTACATCAGGTATGAGACAAAGTAGAATCTTACAGCCAAAGCCGTTGTTATTTAGAAGCTGAGAGGTCAGTTTGGAAGAAGAGAGAAGGAGCCTGATGTTGTCCAAACCAATAGTCTATACAAAGGGGGGGAATGAGAATTATTGGGTCAGAAGCAAGCACAGAGCAGTCTCAAGTTGAAGGCCAGGGATGCCAGCTAAAAGAGCCCTCAAAGGCAGTTGATACATTGTCTTTACAAGTCTTTAAAGGGAGCCTTTGAGGCTAGATTCTGGCATTAATCACAGACTTACTGAAGAGTAACTCAACACCCTAAAATAGTTAATGTGGCAGATATGAAAATAAGTGCTGGTTTCCATGCCTAGGGCCTAAAAGAAAACAGGGTAAGCTTAGGGAATCGTGAACTAGGCTTAACCAAATGCGTGTACCTTTCCTACCATTCTATGGTCCCCTTTTGCAGTTTGGAAAGAAATGTACATTTGTCTTAGAATTCAATTTTTTAATGTAGACAGATGCTCATATTATTTTAGCCAAGTGTACTGGGGAGATTGTGAGAGGAAAAGGGAATTGAGATGAGAAATAAGGATGGTATTAGGAAATAAGGGTGGATTAGAATAGCATATATGCTGCAGACCAAATAGCATTTTTGTCAACTTTGAGGTATGTGGGGTTCAGGTTTCCTCTTAAACAGTTAGAGGGAGGACAGGACAGTTAGATCAAAATATCTGAACACAGTGAGAGAGAGAGAGAGAGAGAGAGAGAGAGAGAGAGAGAGAGAGAGAGAGAGAGAGAGAGAGAGAGAGAGAGAGAGAAACTGACTCTAATGTTAATCTGTGGCAACATTAAGTCATTCAGGGTCTTCAGGGGAAGTGGTGAGCCACAATGGTTAGCTTGAACTAATGGAAACACATGTCTTTGTCTGGGAACTAGATGTGATACAACTTCTCAAGAGCCAGAAGATGAGGTAAATGGAAGTTAAGTCAGAGGGAAAGTGATGGTCCAAACAGAAAAATTGTTATGAAAAAAATAGAGGAGTTGGAGGAGGTTGGTTTCCTATATGACTGAGAGGAAATAGATAGCTCTTAAACATCTGGAAAAACATATATTTCCTAAACACCTAGAAGATACACTCTGAGAGATCAGGTGAGAATACAGGACCAGACTGAGTCAGAAATAAATAACATGGTTGTTGAACAGGGATATGCTACTTATTGTCATTCATTGATTTGATGAAAATACCTCCCACCTTTCAATAAAGATAGGGGTTGGGTGTGTGTGTGAGAGACTAAAGATATATACACTGTGTTATATACACTGTCAGACATTAATATTGAATCAATCTGTTTTGCTTAACTGTTTTTCTTAATTGCCAGAGAGCTCATTGGTTGAGGATGGGATATATTCAGAAATGACTATGGTGTAAAAGGGAAAAGCATTAATAAAACACCTTTTTTTAAAAAAGGAAAAAAAAACCCACACACATTATATAGAAGCAATTAGTTCCACGGAAATAATGTTAGAAATGAATGCCTTGAAACAAAATTTCCCAATACATTTTTAAATCAAAGTTATGAAAAGGAGAGTAGCGAGACGATGTTACAGCACAGGTTGGTTATAATGTATTAAGTATGTTAACTGGGAAATAGCATTGGTCAAGGTATTTGTGTTAATAGTTTTATTTTGTTGTATGCTTTATTAGAGAACTGTGGGGTATAGGCTAAGTTTGCACCAAAGCATCCTTTCTTTGTCTTACCTGCTTCTCAAGGTTGTCTAAGTAATATTTACAAGTTCACAGCATCTGTCCTACAGTGGGTTTGGAAATCAATTTGCAAAGCTATATGAACATACCTAAAATCCCACCCTACATATTCACACAAAGAGGATATAGGATCATCCTCTCCAAATGTTCTACCCAAACTTTTCAAGAAGGAAAATTCCCTCCTACCAGCTTGCTGTGTTCTACCCTGTCTGGGTTCACTCTTGGGCCCATCTCCAGCTGCATTGAAGGCAGATATGCTGACCAGGTATTTCGTGTGACTGGTCAGGTTTTTCAGCTTGACCACAGTCTCTGGCAGAAAAAGGACCTTCATATTTTCAGTTTCATTCTGACTGTCTGCCTCCCAGTAATAAATCTGTTAGGAAGAGAAAGAGTGGGTAAAAGAGAGTTTGAAGAGAAGGCTGAACTAATCTGCCTCTCACTTCACATTAAAAGGGGGTATACTTCATACATTCCCCTCTCACGCCTCCCCAACCATGATTTCATTAGCATAAGAAATTCCTGATAAGGAAACTCCTCATACTATTGCAGATCAACATATGCTCTATATGTTATAGTCTTAGGAAGTTGCCTAGGTTCATACAGCCGGGATATGTCAGAGACAGAACTGGAACCGAGGGCCTCCTAACCCTGAAGCTTTACACTGTTTTATAATAGAGGGATAGGAATATTAACTAGACCTGTGATTTCACTGGCAAAGGGAATTCATTGGTAAAGTGAAATGTCTGGAGTCACCCAGAAGTATGTGTCAGAAGTGGGATTTGAACTCAGGTCTTCCTGGCTTGCACATTAATAGACACTGAATTGTTGAACAGATATATCCAGATCTTGCCATGAGAACTACTGATTCCCAAATTAAAATGATCCAAATATAAATACAAGGCCATTCTACTGAGAATTGTCAGTATTTGAGATGCTCTAGTCTGGATGTCTCCCTGAAGGAACGCTGCCATACATGAGCAAGTAGGGCCATTGTCAGGACTTGAGAATCATTATGGCCATAGAACACTCATCACAAAACATGTTACCTATCCTCTAATAGGAAGGTATTGGACTCAGAGTGTAGACTGAGGCAAATACTTTTTGGGACATCACCAATGTGGGAATTTGTTTTGCTTGACTGTATATTTGTCACAAGGACTTTGTTTTCCTTTATTTTTCACTGGGGTGTATGTGGGGGAGGGGTATGGAGGTTCGGTGTAGAAAAGGTAGATTTTCATTAATTGTAAGAAAAATTAAGTCAAAAATCTAGGAAGACTTAGATGAATTGATGCAGAGTTAAATGAGCATAACTAGAACAATGATAACACTATAAAGACAAACACATTTAAAAGGCTCAAGAATACTGATTGATGCAATGACCAACCATGATTCCAGAGGACCTATGATGAACCATGAGGTATAACCATCAGGTTATAGACTAAGACATATGTTTCTAGGTCATGGACAATGTAGGCATTTGTTTGCCTAAGCATATGCATAACTGTTTCAAGTGGTTTGTTTTTCTTCTTTTCTGGGGTGGGGGAAGGTGGGAGAGAAAAGAGATTTTTAAGTTAGAAATTATTTTTAAAAGGCAGTAAGGCTACTTCTGAGTTCCTGCAACTTGTTGTTGGCATTGATGCCCACAGAACCAAAGGGAATTATTTATTAACATTTCTAAAGAAATAATTTAGAATTTGAGATTTTCTTAATTTAAAGGGCAAGGCATTTTATCCTTAGGGGTTAATTTTTTGATGGGAGATGTGCATTTATTTATAGTAACAAGAGCGTTATATTTTAGCCAGAAGACCTGGCTTAAAAAGAGATTGTTGTTTCTTATATAATCGAGTGCTATTTATCATTAACTTCTTCCATGGTCTTTTTCAGAAAAAGGGTCTAGCTCTGCTCAGCATCCAAACATGTAAGTGGTGGGCAGACCCTTCTTTTGGACTGTCTTTTAACCTTTGCCTGAATCCTCTAATCTTGGGCAAAACATCTAACCCTTCACTCAGCTTCATCTTTTGTTAAAGGTTATCCCATTTCAATTAGCTTTCTCAAAACAATTTAGACCAAAAAAAGCATGGATGAAGAACCAAAGCTCAAGTGCTAATATGGGAAAGATTCCAGTCTTTCCCTTGTATACCATTGCCTCTCTTACAGCCTTCATCTGATCATGATCAACCAAACACCCAAGGAAGGAAGCTCAGAGAGGATTCTGCTACAACTGGTGCCAATGGTACTCCATAGACTCTGTTGGCTAGAAAATGTCTATCCTTGGCCAATTCTAACTGGGATATTTGAAGGCAAGGCCAATCCCAAGCTTCACCTTGGCTTCATGGATTCAAACTCAAGCCAGATTATCAAAGCAGCTACCTACACACTAAAGAAAACTGCCAAGTAGTAGTACCAGAATGTTCCTATTGGGTTATCTTCTATTGCTTAGCATATAGACTTGCCAGGGGAGAGCAAGGCAGAAGCATCCACTGGTAAACTAGGATTGCTTATTTCTACCCTGAGCAGTGCAATCTAGTCCTTTCTCAGCGACGTGGCCAAATGGGGTGCCTTTGTAATGTAAGGCTCTCTAACTCAAGATCAATATCCAGGTTCAATGTCTTTCTCATTAAGGAAATTAGAAGCATATTTTGCACACACACAAATAGCACCTTTCCTCCAAACACAAAGCTCAAAGTACTTTGTTGTACATTACCTCATTAATCAACTTAACAGCTCTTTGATGGAGGAAGGTATTAATTTTCATAAAATACCTACAAAAATCATTTTAAATGGACATTTAATTGGCCCAATATTCATTAGGGCAGGCTAGCCCACAGATCCTTGTGGCTGATAAACTGAGTCTCCAATGGACCAGAACAGGACATTAATTCTAGAACTGGAGAATTTATCTGTTTCTTTCTTTTTTTCTTCTTCTTGCAGAAAATGCCTGGGCATTTGCTTCCTCAAGTCAAAATCTTGAAACTTTCATCAGACCCAGAGTACTTGATCTAGAGGGATCTTGTATTTTCTGGGTGATACATTCTTAAAAATGGAACAACTTTATTAGTTCTTTCTACTATTTGAATTAGCTAATAAAAATAGTGATAACAATAATAGTTAGCATTTATATAACACTTTCAGGTTTGCAAAGCATTTTAGAAATATCATCTCATTATATCATCACAATGACCTTGGGAGGTAGGTGCTATTATTATCCCCATTTTACAGATGACACAACTGAGGTAGAAAAAGGTTAAGTGACTTGTCCAGAGTCTCACAGCTAGTTAGTAAGTATCTAAGGCCATATTTGAACTCTGGTCTTCCTGACTCCATGTTCAGCAAGTATTCTGGTTTGTTTGGTTTGTATGGTAAATGGGAGGACTTCTCTCTTTTACTCCACTTAGGTAGTATCTATCAAATGAAAAATTGAAGAACTTTGATGCCATAACTATTTTAACCCTCTCCTTTTATAAATGAAGCCCAGGGACATGAAGTGACTTGTTAAAGGTCACAAAATTTGTTAGCAACACCCAGAATGAGAACCAAGGTGTCCTGACTCCCAGTTACTCTTTCTTCTCCTCCACATAGCCATGCCCCTTCTCTAGCACCCTCAATGAAGCCACTTTATGATCCTCACAGTGGGAGCAGAATCAGGGTTCTCTACCCCATCCCACGGGCATTTGTAGTGCCTTAGGTTTGTTTGGGCAATTGCTTCCTTGCCATGGGACTATCCTGGGGAAGCAATACAGATTATCTGTATCTATTATTCTATTCTAATTTTGGGGTAACCTAGAAAATGCTTCCTAGGCTGAAGTTTGTCTTATAATTTTAACCGGAAAACAAAACAACAACAAAAATTCCTTTTGGGACGAGCTGTAGTATTATACCCATTTGTTGAGGAGAAAACAAACAGAAAAGTAAACTGAGGTGATTGTAGTGCTATAACAAGGGCCAGAGTTTAAACACTATAATCTCCTAGGTTATTTATGGATAAAGGAAATGAACATGACCATTTTTGGGGGGTGGGGGACAATAAAAGGAGGACAGCTAAAGCCATAAGGAGGTATTGCCTTGTATCCTTGTATGATTCCATTTTGACTCTCCACAGGAGGTGGGTCCCATGTGACTTCCAGCTGACTTGCTGTGAGAGGGTTCACCTGTATGTTCTGTGGAGCCATTGCTGGTGCTAGGGAAAGAAAAGAAAAGAAAGAGAATTAAAGGAGAAATGTAATCAGACACAGGACCAGAAAGGGAGCCACTCCTTCATTCATGTTTGTGTCTGGATTCCTATTGGTTTCTATACAAGCTAAGCAAGATAACCAGCTTTGAAACTATCTCACCCTCCCCTACTGAAATTCCAAATAAACGCACAATACAAGCTGAATAAACACCAGTTACATTTCTCTGAAGCCCATATTCTCGGTTCTATCCAGATAAGGCCAGACAGGATACAAAACAATACAGTTCACCATGTTGTTCCCAGAAAGGCAATGGTAGAAACAAACTTCCAAAGTCCTTTCCTTTCAGACTTCAGAGCTAATCATTTGAAATTTTCCTCTGGGGGGCAATTTCATTTTCTAATTTCCGAAGACAAATTCATTCTTCTACCTGCCTACTCTGCCACCCTGAGGGAGGAGGGCTGTTGGAATATTGTTTTTATGTCACTAGGGCTGAATTTCCTATGCAAAAATGAAGAGGTGATTGATTGAAAGAGAATCAGGAGCAAATCACCTCACAACCATTCTGAAGCACAAGCCAATCACCATAAAATGGGAAGTAAATGCATTTATGTTTTTAAAGAATGTTTCTTCTCATTACATTTTGCTAATACAGGCAAAGTTCTATTCTAGGCTCTTTCATATCAGACAACTCTCTTTTCTTTGGTCTTATTTGCTTGGTGCCACTCATGACTGCATGTAATCTTTACTTCCTCCTGGGCCCCCACAAAAATACTCCTTCCTGCCCAAATAAAATCCATTCCTGAGCTGAGAAACTGATGAGTATGGACACTGGACATATTTCTTTGCAGCCTTCAGTGCCTTTTCAGAGGCAAAAGTTCAGCATCCCTGCTACTATTTCCCACACTGGCCCTGGAAAGGCTAGGTAGAAAGCTGCACCACTCTTCTTCCTCCTGCCGCCTCTGTCCCTAGTGCCTATGAGGGTTGCCTTTTTATTCTGTGTCTGTTTATAGATTGTAAATAGAAGCGATAAAACATTCACTGGCCAGAGGAGATAGCCTAGCTTATCTGTTTCTCTGGAGAGGCTTTCTCTAGAGAGAATGACCTTCATAAGTCACTCTCTCCCCACAACCTCCCTCCCAAAAAATCTTTTTTAGTCCCCCACCCCAGGTTATAAAATAAAATAGTAATTAACACCCACTCAGCCTGACACCAACTATTTATTTTGTTCTAACTGTGTGGTTTCCATATTATCACTGCCCACCCTGCCGTTAATGGAAATGTTAATAACCCGCGCCAGGTTGTTGTGACAGATGCTCAAGCTCATTATCAAAAATTCTTATTTACCGCTCCATTAAACAACAGAATCGCACAAAAAAAACAATTCAATCAAAACTAACTGGAGGTATTTTAACAGCCACATTAATAATCCAAAACATAAATAAAGTTAATGTCTTTTGCATGTTTGCCATCGGCAACTCTATCGCAAAATTACTGTTGTACAATTAAAATGCGAAAGGCAAAATTGAATATGGCCATTACCCGAGTACTCTGTTAAAACTGTTTGTGCATTATTTTGTCTAAAGTTCCCCTTCAGTGACACTGCCAAATATGTGAGATGGGTCTGGAGCAAGGAAAACTAGAATTGGACTCTTCTTTGGAGGTGTTGGAATGAACTCCATCTCCTTGCTGGGAAGCAAGACACTGGCTGGTCCTCTTAGGGACCTACAGATGATCCTGTGGAAGCCCCCTGGTATTTTTCTCCAAGTTGTGTCTGTCCCAGCAAGCCTACCTCTGAACTGACAGCTCCCAGCTCTGGAGCATCAGGCCGAATCAGAGCCTTTCAGAGCTACCATAAAACTGGAGCAGGTGACAAGGATTTTTTGGACAATGGCACAAGTTGGGAAAAGACATATGCATAAAGAGAGAAAAGTTTGTTAGCTTTGAGATTTATTAGTTGGATTGTGAAAACTGCCAGTTTCCTTCCCTGACAGGAGGACACGTGAACTGAAATCTAAAGAAGGCACCACTATGTAGAGCTCCAAATGCTGTCCTTGTTTAATTGTAAATTGTGTTTAATTTAGAATTGATCAAGTGTACTATGAGTTGTAATCTCTTTGTTCTACTGACTTAACATTTGCTGTGCAAGGAACACAAATATCAGCTTGAAACGCTTTTTAAAATGCGTGAAATTTTTTTTTAAAAGCATCTCAGTTCAAAAATAATCGACGTATGCCGATTGGGAAATTGCACAGAAACCACTTTTGAAGGTGAAATGAAAAGGTTAAGGTTCAAGAGTGAGACCTTAGCTGTATACTTCATGTCACAGTTGATGATCCTACCCCATGAACAGCATTACTTACAGTATGTTGGCCTTAAGTCATTCATGTCTCCTAGCAGCAGTCTCTCTAACCCAAAAATAGAAGTCTTGTCAAGTAGAGACAAATCTCGAATAATGTTGCCCAAGAAGCTTGGCTTCACAATAATATTAATAATATGCTAAAACCAAACCTCATCATAATGTTTAAGACCCTATTAAACTAAACTTTGACCAATGCATTCATTCAATAATCATTTATTAAATGCTTTTATTTGCCTGGCATAACACTAGGTTAATCTAAGACATATATTGAAGATTCTAGCTTTGGAACTTAAAGGTCCCCTAATGCAGCATGGGGAAGTGGTAAATGTGATAGATTGGGTGTGTTAGAGGAACTGGGTTCAAATCTGGGATCTAATCATTACCTGTACAACCTTGGCCAAGTTACTTAATTTTCTGAGTCTCAGGTACTCCATCTCTAAAATGAAGGGTTTGGACTAGATGGCCTCTGAGAACCCTTCTAACGCTAAATCTATGATTCTATGAATAATGTTTTGTCAAAGATGTGTTTTTACAGAGAAAATACTGTTAAGGTACACCCAGAACTCAAAGAGGAATTAATTTTACTTTAAAAAACAGCTACTTCTTACATAATACAAATTCATTGAATGCAATCTCAAATTTAAAGAATGCACAGAATTACCCAACCTAAAATTACCAAATAGTTGAAGGGATCTAGCTGTGAATGCTTACTTACTTACTTATCCCCAATTTTGTGGTAGTCACCATGCCCTGGCCTGTCAGACAACCTAACTCCCACTCTTATATATTTTTGACTAGTTTGTGGTAAAAGGTTTCATTTGAATTAGTATTTTGCCAGCCTCACCCAAAACCATTTCAACATACTCACAGCCCCCAGTGAGGAAGTCAGCCATAAGTTAAATGAATAAATAATTTGGTTGGAAATAGAAACTAATATACATTAGTTCACTGATTGTTGTTGGATATTAGCTAGCTGTTGGATGGCATTCACAGCAGACACTGGTGTGGACTCCAATTGCTAAGAAAAGATCAGATACTTCATTCCCGTCTAAGGATCCTGTTTTTCAAAAATAAAGTACATGTTTATACAGTGGGTTATCAAGACAATGGCCAAGAAATTTAAGTTATGGGAAAATTGCCATCTGCCTTCTCCCCTCTCACACTAAATAAAAATATTGTCTCAGCTGTAAAGTTGGATGTGGTACATCAAGCTGAGGTACGCCAGTGAAAAGTTAGCCAAATTGCTAGTGCTTCAGAGATGGTTACATCTACAGTATGGAAGAAGGGAGCTCACCCATCATCAGTGCCTACTCTAATGAGGGATTTTATGGACAATGAACTCTCTGTCCCCATCCCCGTCCTTCTCCTTTTTCTTATCTTCTTCCTCCTCCACAGATAACTCAAAATATGGAAGAAAGGAAAAGTAATTCCATGATACATTTATCACACATAAAGTTACAGCCCACTACTATACATGCAAATCACTATGGTAGATACCATAGGAAACACAAAGACAATGACAGCAAGGTCCCTTTTTTCAAGGGGTTTATGATCTAAGAAGAAATAAGACATGGAAACATACGAAGTAGAATGTGATAAGTACCATGAAGAGAGATACAAAACATAGTATAACATGCTTCAAGAAGATAGAGAGAGAGGGTTTTCTTTCAGTATGCGAGATTATTCAAAGGCTTCATGGGAGAGGCGTCCCATGAGGAGTGGATAGGATTTTGACGGGCAAAGATGAAGGGAGATGCCATTATAGTGCATGAACAAAGGTACAAAGGTGAGACAGTGTGGAACATATAAGGCACATTTTCTGGTATTAGCATCAGAACCAGTACAGTTGCAATTACTCTATTAAAATTTCACTTTCAAAAAAAATTGCACTTTCAATATTTTTATTTTGTGATTTTGCTTTAGATATTGCATATTATTATTAATATTTTGGCATTCTTGTTAATATTTTATATGTATTGACAAGCTCTGCAGGTTATTCAAACAACTGAAAATGACAATCTAGATAATCAGCATTCTTGATTTTTCCCATGTACATAGTTAGGCTCAATTCATTAAGGAGACTCTGTAGTGTTCCAGGCCTTGATACAATCATATCATCTGCAAACAGGAAGGTCGAGAGCATGGTCTGGAGTTGGCACACAGTCCATCTCACTCCCAAATGGGATCCAAACAAGTTTAAAATGAAAAGGTGACATACTTAATAAAATGAGTGAAAATTCAATAACACACAATATTACATTTTAAAACTAGGTCAGTATGTGGCCTGCAGGGATCCTAATGTCCTAGTTCAGTGGCCCCTCTTCTCTTTGAGTTTGACACCACTGATCTAGAGGACCTCGTTATCAATAGAGAATCTTTCCACTTGAATGTGGCACTGAACATCCTTCATAACAGTGGCAAACAATTTGGTGGATATACATCTCTTCACTTGATATTAATAATCAGAGGGTCTCACCAAGTTATATCTGTCTATTGTTACATATTTCTAGGACTACATCTGAAACACCATGCTGGAAGAGATCTTTCATGACAGGTTTTTTTTTTCTCTACTGAATCATTGTAGTTGGTTCGTGTCCTTTGTGCTTGAAGAGGACCAAAATGACATCACCATGTTGGGGTCAAGGT